ACAAGTTTGAATATTATCGTGCCAAATTACCCTCATTTTAATGACTCAATTGAAACAGTTTTGAAATTGAGAACGTGCGAAAACATTACACGGAAATAATTCTACTATGAATTGGGACAAATTGAAAGTGAAAAAACTCGAACATATCCATGGACTAAGTAATAAAATTGTGGAAACGGAACTTTGTCATGGTGATAACGTTCTTCAGCAGAACAAAAATTACCAGAAAAATGTAAAGAACAAATATGTATAGCGAAATAATTTCAACGGATATTGCGACCAGAAATATGAATTTATAGGAAAAGAATTAGGTCATATATAGAAAATAGACGCAATGTTAAGAGATCAAGCACAGCCTATGAGGGTAAGATAAGCCTAATTCCAAAATTTCATGCAAATTGGAGCACAGGAAAAAAAATTCAGACCTCAAACGCTCTATTGACTGGAGTAATTGAAATAGTATTATTTTTTTGGTGATTACTACACAACAGTGGTAGCTAAATTCACGTATAATTAATTATTGGTTAAAAATTTTCTTCAGTCCCTTTGACTTTGAATACAAAACGTGGTATAATATATATGGATTGATATTTATACCTCATAAAAATTGATTATACACTTGGGCGTGACACACGACGCCTTGTTTACTTATTAATTAATTAAATAGTAATAGTGTCCTTTCAGGACATCAAATATAGTGCCAAAACTAGTGTTGGCAAAATGTAGAAGATTTATTTTCATGAAAATTAACATAACTTTAGAGGTTTTTCGGGTCTACAAACTCATTTATGAGTTTCAAGTGCATTTTGCTGAAATTACTTACAAGACAAGGATATACATATAAGTTATGGAAAGTAAACAATCATCAAAATGAGATATAGTATCAAGGTGATTTATGAAATAGGTAGTTGGCCAATTTCATAAAAACTTTATCGTTGTAGTACTATTTTAAACCAAGAACCATGGAAAACCAAAATGAACAACTGTTCTGCAAATCTCTTACTTAGTAGTAAATAAGATTATTGAATTTTGCTTGTTTAATCCCTGAATCAAAAATAGTCATTTGAATATATTTGTAATCATGCAACTAATATTTTTTCATATTATGACCATTATTTTAACAATATAGTACCTCCAAGTCTTACTCGAAATAACCCCTTCAGCTTTCGTCATATATGTTTCTACTCATATATCCCTGCACTAAAACAAATTAGATCCTACTAATTAATTCAATTATCTTACCAGACTACTCCGAAGGCTCCGTAGCCGATGGGCCTGTCGGGCTGTACATCTTGAGGTATTGCGGGGGTCTGGTAATAGGGGGCTGCTGCAGACAGGATAGCCCCTTGTGGGGCGGCTCCTCCTTGGACTAGGGACATAGAAACACTCATCGAGACACGCGAGTGCCTAGATTGAGCCCCAACGGCAGCCATTTTAGAACAAAAGTGCCCCCTCGGGATTTATGATTAATCCATAGATTTCTTGTATTGTGAGCACAAATTATACTTTTAAAAGTTACTTCAGAAGCAATTTAATGTAAATGAGATAAATAAAAAATATAATCAAAAAATAAACTTTTAGGTTGCTTTTTTATTTTGGGTATCGACCCTTTCCGAATCACTTCACACGTCAAACTTGATTTGTTTTATATTTTCAATGAATTTATTACATACACCACATAACATCCAGCAAACTGATACAGGTTTTAAAGGTAACTTAATTGATTTTTTTGATATTTTAATACACTGTTATGCACTTTGACACTTGAATCACCATTTATAGAGCATTTATATTAATGAAAGTCAATCTCTCTTTTATACAGTTACGTTACAGGAAGAAGACAAAGGATTTATCGGAATGAAACTATCTTTTTTCAGGTCCTTATTCTTTTATTGTTATTTGTGAAGATACGGGCGTATAATGGTCCGCTTGCCTTCAAGGATATCTGTGGTGTACTGGCCTTTGTTACGATGCTTGTAGTTGTGAGAACTCCGAGCGAAACGCACCCGAACTTGGAACATAGAGCAAATCCAGAAATAGACTACCAACTGTCAGAGGTTGACAAACTGAGTTTCAACTGAAGCTAACAGATAGCCACACTAATAATAACTTTCTTTGTATTAAGCATCTACTCTTCTTATATCTATGCATCTATGAAAGCGCGTGGAAAGAACGACTTCATTAGTCTTCATTAGAATGAGAAAATCTAAATAAATATGCGTTTTATAAGAAATATAATAATATTTGCCGGATATTGAGAGTTCTGAATTTGTTGAGAAATGTGAATAAAAACAAACTATTTGGATTTTATTTAGTCTTGAACTCCCAATCAGTTGTTCATTAAGGGAAGATCTGTGCTATTAAACATGGTTTGTAAAATATTTAGTTATTTAAAAACATGCTATTATTCTTGGGTTATTGGTAAAATGTTATATTAATGTAATTTCTTTGAAAAAGTATTTAGAAACCTACTTATAATGCATAACAATTGAATTTAAAAGTTTTTTTTCACACGTGTTCTAACCTAACCTCCATAACCTTTAGTAGGCTTTACTATCTTAATTCTAAGTTTTGCATTTTTTATTATATAAAATTAATTTATGTTTTATAGTATAGATTACATATTATATATATATATATATATATATATATATATCCATAAATGGCACTATATCCATAAATTACATTTTTCAGTCTTTGCTATACGTGCTTTATGAGCATGCAGCAGGGTTTGCTCTGTTTCGTGTGAGCGAATTTGAAGAAATTTCGATGCTTCTTCCTCAAGTAGAGGCCTCAGTTACTGATTTATCAAGATTCAATGCTATTGTGAAGCTGGTCGGGTTTTCTCCATTCAAGACAGCAGTTAGCGCTTTAGAAAATATCAATAGTATTTCAGAAGGTTTGTGACGTTATTTTATATAAAAATGAAATATCAACTATGCTTCGTTGTATTTTTAATGCAATTTATAGTTAATATTTGATACAAAATCTGGAGAGATATGACATTAATTATCCTATTATTTCATCAGGTATAGTACCAAAAGATTTATTATTATTTTTGGATACTACTTTACCAAAACCTGGGAAGAAAGAAAAATTGACGTTGGGTGTTGCAGATGCAAAACTAGGCGCTGCAATTACTGAAGCACTTAGCATACAATGTAATCACATTGGACCAGTACCTGAAATCATAAGAGGTAATAAATTTGCTTTTAGAATCTTGTATATAAGATTTAGCCTTAGTATTACTATTAAATACAATATTTTGTTGCAGGTATTCGTTTTCATTTTCCAAACTTGGTAAAAGGATTCACAGAAAAGTCTGCAGGTGTAGCTCAACTTGGTTTAGGTCATAGTTACTCCAGGGCCAAAGTTAAATTTAATGTTAATCGTGTGGATAACATGATTATCCAATCAATAGCATTATTGGATCAACTTGATAAAGATGTTAATACATTTTCCATGAGAATACGGTGAGATTTTATTTGAATATATATAAGAAACAGCATTACGCTTATTAATATAAAATTACAGCGAAATAATACATTGAAATTTTACAGCGAATGGTATTCTTACCATTTCCCAGAGTTGGTCAAAATTGTTCCTGATAACTACATGTTTGCTAAAGTTACACAAGTAATTAAAGATCGTAAGACTTTAACACAAGATAGTTTAGAAGCTCTGGAAGAAATAGTCATGGATTCAGCTAAAGCTCAAGCAATAATTGATGCATCTAAGTCATCAATGGGAATGGACATCAGTGTTGTTGATTTGATGAATATAGAAATGTTTGCAGGCAGAGTAGTTAGATTATCTGATTACAGGTATATTCTACATATAAAATTTTTATAGTACATTATTTGCAGAAACTAGAGCTTGCAAAATGTTTGTACTAGTTTTTCAAGTGTAGAATTTCTGCAAAATTATTAAACAGAAATTTCAATAATTGTACAAATTTTATTAATTTGTTCTGATTTTAATAAATTTCTGGAACACTTTCATTACATTTCATTATGTTGAATTACTAATTTAATTATAGCATATTGACTCAATTTAATATTAAACAGGAAGCAGTTGGCCAATTACTTACATTCCAAAATGGTAGGTGTGGCACCAAATTTGGCTACTTTAATTGGTGATCAAGTGGGCGCAAGGCTTATAGCTCATGCAGGAAGTTTAACAAATCTAGCTAAATATCCTGCCTCCACAGTCCAAATTTTGGGTGCTGAGAAAGCTTTATTCCGTGCTTTGAAGACCAGGGGTAATACTCCAAAGTATGGTCTGCTATTTCATTCTACATTCATAGGCAGAGCTGGTATGAAAAATAAGGGAAGGATATCGAGATACTTAGCTAACAAGTGTACTATTGCATCAAGAATTGACTGTTTCTCAGGTACCTAATTTTTTGCTATGCAACTTATGTAAAGTATTTATTCAAAAATTCTGTTTAATATATTTCAACAAATATCTTTTGCTAAATTTTGTTGTTTATAGCAGAGTCTAGAGCTTGTACAATGTTTTTATTTTACAAGTGTGATAACCCTGCTACATCAATGACTAGAAATTAAAAATTATTGGTACTTGCTTTTTTTGGCTTAGACCGGATAATTTCTGCAACATTGATAATTTTTCATTTATCACTTGGTTCAATATTCAATATAGGTCTTTGATTCACTGTATTTTTTACAGAGAATCTATGTAGTGTTTTTGGGGAAAAGCTTAGGCAGCAAGTTGAAGATAGATTGAAGTTTTATGAATCTGGTGATGTTCCTGCTAAGAACATTGATGTTATGAAAGAAGCTATTGAATTAGCAGCCCAACAAATTCCTGAAGCTGAAGCTGAAGCTGATCTTTCAGTTTCTGAGAAAAAGAAGAAGAAAAAAGCAAAAAAAGAGAAGCGTAAACATGAAGAATCTGAAGAAGTTGTTCATGAAAATGGGGATAATAATGGTGATGCTGACGAAACATTAGAAAATGGTGACACAGAAGAACCTAAAAAGAAGAAGAAGAAAAAGAAGGATAAGAACCAAGAGTAAGGCTTTAATTTTGTTGCAAGAGTAATTTTAATTTAAAGTTTATAAAAAAATATTTCATTAAAAGTAATATTTTATCCATGTTTTAATTACATGACGGTTTTGTATTTAGGAAACAATATTTATTGTTCAATATATCAATGCTTAAATATTGTTAGAATTTTGTATTTTATTTCAATTCAATATAAATCTAAACTAATACAATGTTATCATTTATTGATGCCTTCCATATATTGAATATATAAAGATAGACAAGTTGGTAAATCGAGTTCTTTTAGTTTTTGTTGAAATTTATTATAGGACACAAAGCCTAAATTGCAAAAAAGTCTTCTGATAACACACCGTGATAAATGTTTGAGACTGAAAAATTTCGGTGTCAATGTGTCGTCAACAAATTCTAATTCCCAAGTTTCTGGTAGTGAAAGTTTATTCCATTTTTTACCTTTATTTCTCTTCAATATATAATAAGGTGAATAAAGTGGGCTTACTGTAGATAATGCTCGTAAAGCCCAAATTTCTATAGGAATTTCTACTTCTATACATATGGAGTGTGGATTGATAATATTGATATCATGCCACAAAATGCTAATATCTTGTCCATAAACACCAAACATCTCGGCAATTTCTAAAAGCTTGACAAAATCTGTTGGATGATATAGATTGAATTTAGGCAAATTACTATATTGAAAATCATAATTTAATGATAGGTGTGATAGCAACACCTGAATAATTAATATACAATGATTTTTATCTGCAGTCCAAAATTGCCATAAATAATCAACCGCAAACAATGCAAATATTTCTGGTCGCTTTTCAAAAAGTCTAGTGTTTTTTATATCACAATTAAAGTTAAACTTTTGGTAACTCAATGTTAAAATTGAGTTTACGTCCATACTATTTAACAATGGTTCTAGAGCAGCATTAGCAAAGTGTAGTGGAAGTCTGCCATCATGATCTGGTATATGTGGATTAGCTCCTTTTAATAAAAGCATTTGTACTATTTTTTTATTATCGTGCTGTGCAGCAATCATTAAAGCGGTTGTACCATATATACTCTGTCTGTTAATATCTTCTGCACAAATAAATTGTAATATCAATTTGATGCAATTTTTGCATTTGCTCATAACAGCAAGATGTAAAGGAGTATATTTACTATCATTTGTTAAAGATGCATCAGCACCAGCAAATAACAAAATTTCAAGACATTTATAATCTGCATTCATAGCAGCAATATGTAATGGAGTATCTCCTGCATAATCTTGAACATCTAGATCTGATCCAGCATTTACTAATAATTCAACATATACATGTTTTTGTTTGTTGCAGAGGTTGTGCAAAGGTGTTTCTAACTCATTATTTGATATATCAATACAATCTGGATCTGCATTGAGTAGCAGGTGCACTATATCTAAATTAAATTGAAAGAGAATAGTTCAAGGATGAAAATTTCATGATATAAAAGGATAATTGTGATATGTATTTGCTAAAACTCAAACTAATTGTGTAGTGTTAACAGCCTCTTTTTAGTGATTTGAAAATTTCTTTTTAGCTTACTATTAATATTATATTGTATCTTATCTCATGTGCATTTTCAAATACCTAAACTTTCAATTGCAACGGAACAAGCTATAAAAAGAGCGGTTTCTCCTTCATGTGTTTTTAACTGTGTGAGATTATACTCTGAAAACTTTGGAGCAAGAAAAAAGTTCACACAATCAACATAGGCCTTTGCCACAGAATGATGCAGTGGGGTCCATCCATGATTATCTGCGATATCAGGCCGTTTTCCCTCTCTGTCCAGAAATTTTAATTTTTCAATATCACCTACAAATGTTGTGTATTATGCAGAAAAATTAAATACTACAAATAAAAAGTAAATTGTTTGTGTCCTTATAAAAATTACAAATTTGAATAACTGATAATTGAGTAAATTTTAAAATTTACATTTAAATAAGGTAATATATTGTCTTTATATTTTGCATGAATTACTTAAAGTCAGTTTACCTAAGAATGTTGCAGCTAGCATTCTATTATAATTAAGTAGAATCACATATAATAATAAAATTTTGCTTAACCAATATCCCTAGAATTTGATAATTTAAATCACAGTTGAAATATATTGTTTGTAAATAAAACATTAAGAAAAACACGACATGCAACATGGAAGGTTATGGCATTGACAGTTTATTGACAAAAATATTGATATTTAAAAAACCGAAATATATATCGATTCATAAAAAAACGAATAGTTTTTTAGTATTTTTATTATTAGGAGGATAAATAAGATTTAGCCAGGTTTAACAATATTATATTCTTGAGTCCAAATCCCAAAAGTAAATGCTAAACAGATAATTGATTTGACAGTTCGTCAAAAATACTCTGAAGTTAAACTACAGTTTGTTAATTTAATTAAGTAATAAATTCCATAATTGAATTAAATTCGTCATTTAATTTTATTAAAACAGATTAATTCTTTAAAACTGTGTGTACCACATTTCCCTGATATCATATTTAAAAATAAAATTAACACAACGATATATGCAAACCTGGAGTTGTTGGCTATTAGTGCAGTATGACATATTGACAGTAGTTTTGACGTTTTTTTCTCAAGGAATGATAAAGATCTTTTAACACAAGCATAAATATTTAATAAATATGAAATAACTTATTATTTGTTTAAATCTTATTATTTTTATTTGGCAATTTATTGATAAGTAATTTAATTTTAAATAGAAAAGTTATTTATGGGAGTGGTCTAGTTTGACATAAGTTGTTTGAACTTTAAACTAAAAAAATATGATATCCTGTTTATAAATAGTGCGTAATATGTTTAAAACAATATTGTGTCTGATTTTGTGATACCATAATTCTGAATGATTATTTTGTAGTTTTTTTTTAATAATGCCTCCATTAAAGACTTGTAAAGTTTATCCAGAGAATTGTCCAGGCGCTCCGCCTCCCACGCCCGCGGCTGAGAGAAAGCCATATACGAGCACTCAACATGCCCAAAAACTTTTAATGAACCTAAATAATCTCAGAAATGATTCAAGGTTTTGTGACATTCAATTGAGAGCAGGAGGAACAATATTTAATGCACACAAAGCAGTTTTATCAGCTAGTAGTGCTTATTTTGAAGCTATGTTTCGTCCAGGAATGAGTGAAGAACAAAAGGATTTAGTCACATTGCATACATTAGATCCCGATATCTTGAATTTGTTAATCGATTTCATTTATACAGGCAGAGTAGAAATATCACAAAGCAATGTACAAGAATTGTTGTCAGCAGCCGATATGTTACAGTTGCAAGAGGTATTTGTTAAATTTCTATTTGTTTAAAAAATCTAGCAGTCCCACTATATTCAAAATTACATTATTGCAGGTTGTTCAAGGTTGTACAGATTTTTTACAATTAGAAATACATCCAAGCAACGCATTGGGTATTTTAAGATTTGCTGAAGCTCATCATTGCACAGATCTTGTTCGCTACGCTAATGACTATGTTAATACAAACTTTCCTCAAGTATGATAAATGAAGTATTTTGATATATATATATATATATATATATATATATATATATATAATGGTCAAATAGTTTAATTTAATTTTTAATTTATAAATTTATTACAGGTCTGTAAAGAAGATGAGCTTCTAGATTTACCCTTGAATTTACTGACTAGATTATTATCTTCGGAACTAATTCGTGTAGATAGTGAATATCAAGTGAGTTTCAAATTACTTAATAACTTTGTACCATCTTTGTACTAACAAGAAGCAAATAATAATTTTAATAAAATAATATTTTTTTCAGGTGTTTGAAGCAGCAATTCGTTGGGTATCATATGATGTTCCCAGAAGAAGACGACATGTTTTTGAAGTTTTAAGACATGTTCGAATTGCTTTGATGCCTATACAGTTATTACAAAGAACTCTAGATGAATGCAGAGATGATTCCTTAAAAGTTGCACTAAGATCTATAGTGAAGGACTTGGTAAAATATCTTTATTTTATAATTTTATTGTTTTGTAGTTGAAATTGTGTAACTTATCTAAAAACCTTATCATAGGTTTCTCAAAAAGGTCTGTTTGTAACATTGAATGCAGCTCCACGTAAATGTGCTAAAAAACATATTTATATAATTGGCGGATCAAAAAGGGAAACAACAAGTGGATGGCATAAAAATACAGATGCAATATTTGACTCTGTAGCCAAATTTGATACTTTTAGAGGGTAACTATAATTAAACATTACATTAATTAACAATTAAATTGAGTTTTTGATGAGTACCAAAATATGTGTTACTAAATAATTTAACTTTCTAATATAATTTTCAGACAATGGTTAGAATCGCCATCCATGACTGTTGGCAGAATTTTACCGGGCGTAGCATCCTTAAGAAATTATATTTATGTTGTAGGTGGTGAGCTTGGCTCACAGATTTTAGCTAATGGGGAAGTTTATGATACTCAGGTAAAAATTTATTACATAATATCAAATTTAGAAATTTTACCTAACATAATATTATATATATATATATATATATATATATATATATACTAGATGACCCGACAGACGTTGTCCTGTACCCACCTCTACGTTTTTTTTTTAATATTCTATACTAATATTTATACCGTTAAATGTAGAGTGATGTTAAATGTAGTACAGTTTCAAATAAAATGATTATTCTCAATTCCCACAGTTAACACTTTAATTATCCCTTTAACAAATATTAAAATATGTTCAATGAAATTATATATTAAAAATTATACACTGCGATTTATAGAACAAATTTATTTCCAATAGCTCAATTTATTTTATTGAATTTAAGGGTTATACAATATTTTTAGACATACCTGTAGATGTGGATGTTTAAATGTTTAAATGAATGATTTCTTGTTTATTCACGGCTAAAACATTGATTTTCCAAATTTATCACCATGTATTTATTGTCATAGCATAGATACACGTGTTGAAAATTAAAATCTTTTAAAAAGTATAACAAATTCAGAAAGAATTAATATGTAGCATGCGGTCAAGGTACAATATCACCTTGGATTTTTCTATCCAAAACAATTGCTTCAATAATGTTGCCTACAATTTATATAATTTCGTACCATATTTTAACTGGCTTTTAGTATTTTAATATCTAAATTGCATTTTTCACACTAATAATTCAATATACATTATTACTTAAGTTCATATTTGAAGTGAATTAATTTGTCAAATTTTGTTCACATGTGCTCTATTCAACCTATTATCAACAAAATTATTGCAGTAAATGGAGAGGAAAAAAGCGTATGCCTAGCTAATCTTAATCTAAAGTTCAGAAGTGAAAACAATTTGCATTTCGTCACCACCCCCGCATTAATTGGATTATAACTCTTTTAATTCTGATTTTATCATAACTTGAAATATACTATTTTAAAGGTGATTAAATGTGCTACAACTTTCTCTATCACAAATTTTACCGTAACTTCTCTTATTTTGAAACGACAAAGGGTTAAAGGGCTCGAAAGACACTCCGGTTGGACAGCCGCGCACTCTTTAAACAATTAGAACTCTATCAATATTTGTGTAACAAAAAAATAATAAAAAGCAATAATTAGTCTGAAAAATATCTTGAATTTTCATATATATACTTCTATACGTATTCTTTCAGAGATATTATATTATAATTCTCATTAAATGAGAAATTGTTTTTTTTTTAAATGGATTTTTTTATGAAATCGTGAGTTTTTTGAAAATTTCTATTAATGTTATGGTATTTTCTAGAATCCATCAAGATCTGTCAAACCAAGTTAATTCTAGATGAAAAACGATTATGTTTAATTTTGGTGGAAATGGCACTCATAAACTATTTGATTTATATGAAAAAAAAAGTTGTATGTGTCTTTTAATTGCATGATAGCTCACTCATTTTACACGCAGAAGTACTTTTTTTAAAGCTTATTTGGAGAACTATTAAACTTAATATTGTTCCTAGAACATTGTAAAATAGCGATTTATTAAGATTTTTATTGATATAATTTTGCTCATTACATAATTTTCGTTAAAATGTATATTTTTGAAAATATTAGCAAAAAACGATGAAAAACGCAAAAAAGAAACAAATTTTCAGTAGCCAGTAAATTGAACAGTATTTGCTTTTTTGAAAAACATTATTAAACATTTTTCTCTTATAATTAGTTCTTTTATCGATACCCAACGTTATTACACTACTGAAACGAAATGGCATCCCCCCGGGTAGTGCAAAGGAATTTAAATTGTTTTCACTTTTGAACTTGAGAGTAAGATGAGCCTAATTCCAAAATTCAAAACGAATTGGAAAACAGTAAAAAAAAGTTTAGACCCAAAGCGCTCCATTGAGTAAATATTCCGTACAAAATGCCAACCATATGAATTTTTGACACAATGAAACTTCTAAATAATTTTTTGAATAAGTAATAATTTTGTATTGTGACTTAGTATAGTAAGACAATACAACCGAAAATTGAATATTTTTGAGCGCAATCACTTATGGCTAGTCTCCTTGAGTTCGTTCCATCCGAGCCAATCTGACAGTCCGAAACTGTTTCAAACTAGACCAAACTCTTTCTGATTTTTTTATGGCAGTTGGCAATGGTTTGGTTTGGATACATCCAACGCGTTCGAACTCGGTGCTCACTCGATAATAATAATAATTATTATTTTAATACATAAATATATATATATATATATATATATATGTATATATATATATATATATATATATATTTATATAGAATTTTATGATATGAGTGGAACGAATATTAATTGTTTAATATGAACAAAACAGCACTCAGATTCTTTTAACAAAATTTGTTAAAAAAATCTATGTGCTGTTTTGTTCATATTAAACAATTAATATATTTATATGTATATATTAGACATATTCTAATAAAATATAACTTAATTATATCAATGAATTTGCTTTTTAATATTTCCCAGTTATATATCGTTATGTCGCTTTTAATCTAATATTCTACAATATTTGGACTCCTGTAAATTCATTAAAATTTTTAATGTTCTATTTGAGATTAAATAACATTATATTTTAATCGTATTAAATTGCGGAGTTTTTGTTTGTGCCGGGTACAAACACAAAAATGACAGTTTCAAACTCATCGGACTTGATGGAACGCATTACTGACAATCCGCAACAGTTTGGATTCCGAAATTTTGGATGGAACAGAAAAAAGTGTTCTGCGCATGCGCGGACAGTTCCGGACTGTCAGATTGGCTCGGATGGAACGAACTCCTTTACACGAATTCGTACGACGAATCTGTTCGCAAAGTGCGCAAACAAAATTATTGCAAGCAAAAGCCAACCACGCGCACATTGAGAACACGATTCGCCGTGCGCGTCAATCGCATGTTATATTATTTGCATTTTATATTAATTTAATTTTTGGCACATCTCAGCTGCTTTTCGACAATAATGATGTAGTGATTACATTTTCTTTATTTTTAATCATAAATTTATTATATTTTAATATTGCTTTAACCGCCTATAAGTGAATAGAAATGTTTGGCAAATGACAGTTGTCATTTGTTTTTAATGTCAAACCATGCCTTAAATATTTTAAAGGTCAAACAATGATAAGCGGTTTTTTGTATTTTTTTCTATTTATTTCTACAATCTAACTATATTTCTATGAATCAAAACATTCTAAAAAAAATTCCCGAACAAACTTCAGGAAGATTCATGAAAATCCGAATTATAGTTTAGGAGGAAATATGAAACTTACATTGTTACAGAAGAATTTTATATATAAGATATATAAGATATATATATATATATATATATATATATATATATATATATAATTAAATATGCCTGTTCATTTCAGACAGAAACATGGTCCCATATGGCTCCAATGGTCATTCCAAGATGCGAATTTGGTTTATGTGCTTTAAACAATTCTCTATGGGCAATCGGGGGATGGATTGGTGAAGATATAGGAGGATCTATTGAAAGGTAAGAAAATCATTTGAATAGTTTATATGAGAATATTGAATAAGAAAAGCAAAATATTGAATTAACATATATAAAAAAATATATTTTTTGATCATGAACTTTTTTCAATATTTTCAGATATGATCCTTACACTGATGTTTGGCATTTATGTGGTGATATGCCAGAACCTAGATTTTCAATGGGAGTAGTTACATTTGAGGGCTTAATTTATATTGTTGGAGGTAGTACAAACTCAAGAAGGCATTTACCTGATTTGATCAGGTACTTATCTATCTTCTATAAATATCTATTTCTTGTTTGTATACAAGCAAGTGTTATTGTAATGAAAAATTAAGTACTTATTGAGGATTTATTTCTTATTTATGATTACATTACAGTTTTAATCCAATTACTGGTGAATGGAATAAGCTTCCTTCAATGTCAAAAGCAAGGTCCCAAATGGGCGTAGCTGTTCTAGATAGATGTCTTTATGTTGTGGGAGGTAATGGAAGTCATTCAGAAGTACTTCGAACAGTAGAAAAATATGATTTTGATAAGGTAACATTTTAGTAATTATTTACATAATTAGCAATGAACAATATTTTAAAGATTTAGAAAATAAATAATGCCTGGCCACAATTTCCAAGTTTTCAAAGTTCTAAAATCATCTATTGTGCTTGCCTGATTATGTTTTATATTATTTACAGGGGACCTGGACGAACATAGCTCCTATGTGTGTTTGCCGTGCTAGTCCAGCAGTAGCATCAGCTAATGGTTTGTTATATGTTGCTGGTGGTGATCAAACAATTGAAGTTAATTTTTATCGAGCACAAATCACTATTACATGCATGGAAGCTTATAACCCTCTCACAAATCAATGGACTGCATGTCCAGATTTACCAGAAAGTAGATCTGAAGCCGGTGCTGTAGTATTGTGAGATTAACTGTAAGTATGTAGAGGCGAGTGAAGATATTATTTTTCAGCTGCAGCTTTAAATATATTTGAATATTAAAGTGAAGTTTTGTTGTATTTACATTTACTGCTTAAGAGAAAAGATCGATAAATATACTGTACTTGACCATTACTATTTTTTTGAGATTAGATCTGTTCTTTTTAATATTTTGAATATATAGTTCATATATATAATTCAATTTTATATTTAACAAAAGAACTTGAAATTAAAATTAAATTTAAATATTATTTTTATAATTTAAAAAGCATGTATTAATTTGTAATATAGACTTGGAAGTGATATAATATTTCCAAAAAAAATATTCTAGGAAAGCAGAATTTAAGTAGAGTTTTATAAATTTCATTTATTGACATCACAATTCTTAATATATAATTGATGTAGTATTAGAAATCAGCTTTAATTCTTGTCCAAATTTATATGTGATAAATAATTATGACACACCCAGTTATTAATTTAATAGTAATTCAGGTGAATGCAATAAGTTAGAATTAAGTGGGATAGGTATATTCCATCAATCAACTTTTTTTTTAAAAAAATATTGTTGTCAATCCACAAATTTGAAAACATTCAAATCCTTTTATTATCTTCTATAAAGATAAATTTACCTTCATTCTTTGAAATAAAATTTTAATAATTATAGATACAATTACATATGACATGTGCTTAAACATTAAAAAAAATGAAACCTTTTGTTGTGAAGCTAGTGAAAATTAAATGCATTTCTTAATCTTAATGCCAAAGAATGACTATTACAAATGTAAGACATTTATACTAATATTAAACATGTTTATATGCAATATATAATATATTACTTTATTACTTAAGTTAATAATAATTATTAATGTTAAATTTGGTCTGCAATGGGAATCTTTCATGATCTATTAACAAATAGATTAACATCATTTTTAAGATTAATTTTTTATTTTAATTTCATGCAAGTTTCCCATTTCAGATTATTTTCAAATTAAATGAAATTTCCAATATTATAATTATAGTATAGTTTTTAAAAAAAGTTATATTTTATATTTTAATAAAAGTTATATTTTATTCATCACATGCTTGGATGTGTAAATTTTATGTAAATATTGATAATTAATAGATAATGAAAATTGTATAAATCAGTTATTGTAAATTAAACGAAAATGCTAATATGAATTTTGATGTGAATGGAATGATTTGAGTGAAATGAGTTTTGAAATTTTTATTTGTTTTAATATTAATGCATATTATGTTCATGCTTTACTCAATATATATGATATAAGTTTTTAATTATTGTAAGATGTGATTACTTATAAAGAATCTAATGCATATGTTATATGAAAACGTTTATGTAATAAATAAAAAATGCTGAATCTAATTGAGTTGTATTGAATATTAGATTAGAATAATTTAGGAAAAACACTATTATTTTGAAAAACAATACCAATATTGAATTGGTTAAAAATCAGTTATACAATTAATGAAAAAACAACAGTTAGCCATACTTTATATTAAAAAAGTAAAAGTAAATACATCACAATTAAATTTACTAGTAATAAAATGTTAATAACATTTTAATATTTTTCCAGAAATTTTGAAAAAGGTTTATCTTTAACCCATTTTGTTGCTTGAACTAACCGATTCATAGCGAGTGGTAGTGCAGGAAATGTTGTTAGAAAATAATCACGAATCTGCAAATCATTCGGATTGGATTTCATACACATGCCAATAAATTTTATTAAACTAATTGGGCACCATTGGTCACAGTTAAGCTCTGGCAACTAAAATATATAAATCACACATATTAAATAATATATTGATACATTCAGGATTAGGTCTTAGTTGGGAAATTTTAATGCAGTTATATTTCCATACCTTTGCAAAATCTCTTTTAACTATCGAATACCAATCTCCACGAACTTCAAATTTATTCGCTAAGAATGCAATTTCGTCGTGAAAATTTTGAAGCAAAATTTCTCTTCCTTCCTGCTGTATGGGTAGACTTAAGCACATCATCAAGAAGGTCCAACGTCTGTTTGGATCCCAGAAATAAACGTGCCTATAATATATTCTGTGTTTATACGTTTCTAATATTTTAGTAGCATTAGCTGGTGAAAAAACTGACTTACTTTAAAATTTCCGTTGTCGTTGGCCTATCAAAAGGGTTTGAATGTAATGTCCATAGTACCAAATCTTTAAAATCACAGCAAGTCGTTTGTACACGAGGAATCCCATTTGCAATGGACGTCTCTATTTGTTCTAAGTCGTTTCCAAATGGGTGCAGGCCACCACTTGATAAAAAATACATCAACATGCCGAGAGTCTAGATTAAAATTTTAGTTTAGACATATGTAATTAATAAATATATATAAAAATAATTGAATTGTTAATTTAAATTTAAAGTCCAGAAAGTACATAACTTTTTATGGTTGGTAATGAAACAGGAATTGGCAACCATAGATAAATAAGCATAATGTTGGCAACACTAAAATTATGTCATTGTATTTTTTTGAATACGATTCAGTACATACTCAAATGTCAGTGAGTTTAGTTCTAAACAGTTTAATTAGTTTAGTTGTGTTAATATTAAATGCTGTGCTAAAGTTATAATTTAACTGAAACAAGAGGAATAGCAAATAAGTAAGTTAACAAAAATTAACAATTTTATCTTTAGTTTACATAAGAAAAACTATGTCTTAATAAATTCGTTATGTCAAAAGTTCAAAATGGCGAGCACAGTACTTTCCTTGAAAAGTGCAATAAAAATTTGACAAAACAGACATTTTGCTTAATCAATACGTAATTTTTCTATTATATTCTTACTTGTATATCAGCTTGAGTTGTGCAAAGAATTTGGTAATATTTTTTATATAACCGCAAATTTTCTCGTGCAAACCATAACACCGAAAATTTAGCAGGTATCGTGTACAGACTAGGCCCTAAAATAAAAACAATTAGTTTATTATTATTAATTGTGCGAGATAAAATAAATTCACGGAAATTCTCATTGAATGACTATTAATTTTACCTCGTGTAATCCGAACTCTGCTAAACGTAAACATCCCTTTGAATCAATCAAAACATTACTCGGTTTTAAGTTCCCATGAATTATGATTGGATCGTGTTGGTGTAGAGCATGTAATCCCATCACCATTTGTTTGATGAGCACCTGGAATAAACGATAAAAAAGACTTTTAATTCAATGTCATACTAAATGATAAATGCTATATGTCTTGAACGTATATTTTTATAGTACTATAAAGTTTATGTCTATAACTTTATGATACTGGTAGGGAAACCTCGAGCCTCCCATGCACAAAGTAAATGTAAAAAATACACCAACCCCTTAATGGATTTTTAATTTTTATGCCCGTTGGTGTTTGATGAAAGATTACAAATAAATTATTTAATTTAAATAGTTGTACCCTCGGTCAAAAACACAGATAATAAAGTTCATATTTACCTCCGTTCCAAATTTAGATTCTCCTCCGTTAATTACATGAATATATTCTTCAAGATTGTACTCACACAATGGTGTTATATAAAGCGCTTCGTAATCCGACAATTGTATGAATCGTGATGGAAGAAGATATTCACATCTTAGCTAAAAATTAGCATTACAGAATATCATAAATCGATTTTCTACATAATCACTTCTTAAAACTTACTGGTTTAAGTTTTAGTGTTGTCCAAATTTTGCAATCCGTTAAAAACGGCATACATTTCATAGCTATAAGATTGCTTCCACCTTTTACTTGTCCAAAATCCATTTTGCCCAATTTTCCGCCAGCATTTACCAAAAAGCTTTTTAATTTATCGGCGTGACAAACAAAGCTAAGACCTGAATAGTGAATAAACAATAAAAAAATTCAAATATTTTTATATCAAAGGTATATAATTCATGACATTTATGTTATTTGTGCCTCTGAAGGCTATAAATTGAGTAAAATGTCTTAAGGGGGTTGTTCGTTTTTTTGTTACAAAAAATGCAAGGTATTTGTTTTTGTTCTTCTCGAAATGTATTTATCATAGAGACATGCAGTTTTATTCAAACAAAAATTACAAGATCATAGAATATTAAGAATTTTTTTATTATTTTTTTTTCGCCGTCATTTTTTAACCAGGGTGCGCCAAAGTGGGCATTGCAAAATCGATCTCTTTTGCGGTGCCACAGATAAATCTGTTGCGCATCGCCTGAAACAAAAAAAAAATACGTTGGAGAAAAAGTTTGAATCCAGTCCCACTACCAAAATGAAAGAAAAAAAGCAAGAAAGGAAAAAATGGCAGCTATTTAAAAAAAAAAGTGTTAAAAAGGGCCTTTTTTTGGGGACAAGAAGCTTCGCAAAATTTTTTTGCGTAATGTTATGAAATTGTTTGAGGTAGGGGGACTAGGTATTGCAGTGGTGAACAAATTAAAAAAAAATGCAAGTCGATGTAGTTTTTTTTTAATTTGTGGCACCGCATTGAAAAAAGTCAATTTGAGAAAAACGTATTTAAAGTTTTTAATATAATGTACTAAATACACCATTTAATGTACTAAATACACCATGGTGTTCAAAGAATTCTGAAACATTAAAAAGGTCACGTGCATGAGGTATTATAATAAAAAGAGAGCAGCTGGCATACAATAGCTGCTAAAAAGATGAAAAAAAAACGGTTTCTGAGGATCATACAAATAGAGATATATATAATTACTAGCAAACCCGACGAACTCCGTTTCGCCACCAGAAGGTTTCGTGAGAAAGATGAAGAAATTTTTTGTTTGTTTTATATTTTAAAAGGAACAATTTGATTTTATTATACAACAGTAACGAATTTATTTTGATTACAAAAATGAAGTGTTTTTTAGTTGAACTTCTCTAAGTAAATGAAAGTGAATCCGCAAATTATTCGTTTCATTGCAGTGCTCTTTGGTAAACCACATTTTTTGTTTTTTGTTCTGACGTTAACACAAACAAAGCGGATGGTTTTCCAACTCGTGAACAGGCAACGTATAACTGCCCATGCGAAAAACAATGATTTTATAAATAATCTATTTGAAATTTATCCCGCAAACACTAAGCGATTGGCCTTGCGACATGTTATTGCGAACGCAAGGCGAACTGGAAATTGCAATCGTTTGAAGTCAAACAGAAGACCAGTCAGAATCATTGGTATGTCACCAAATCGCCAGCAATCTTTGATTGAATGGGAAATTCAGGGCGTGTATATCATTGCTCGTTGACTTAACCAAGCATAATTCTGATAATTCTCACTAATGTCATTACTCGAATTTTTAATTACGGTGCGTGAAGTTCCAGCAATTTGCATTAGGGCACGATGCCATGCACAACTAATTTTCTTAGCTATAAACCTTGCGGAGCCCGAGACCTTTCCAACGAATGCAAAATTGTCGAAATCGGTTCGTGCGTTCTGGAGTTATTTCGTCAGGAAGGAAAACCCGGCTTATTTTTATATATATAGAAGATAATCTATTTGAAATTATTTAAAACAGTTATTGATTATTTTTATTACTCGAATTTTTAATTACGGTGCGTGAAGTTCCAGCAGCTTGTATTCAGGCACGATGCCATGCACATCTAATTTTCTTAGCTATAAACCTTGCGGAGCCCGAGACCTTTCCAACGAATGCAAAATTGCCGAAATCGGTTCATGCGTTCTGGAGTTATTTCGTCAGGAAGGAAAACCCGACTTATTTTTATATATATAGAAGATAACTTCGTCAAAAAAATAGATATTGGGATGATTTTTTTTTAAAGTAATTATAAGATTTTTAGCTTTCATAATATCGAAAAATCTCAAAATTGAAAAAAATAAAAACAAAAACCGAACAACCCCTTTAAAAGCTTAAAAAAATATAAGTTCGATTTTTATATTTTTTTATAAATATTCTATATCAGCTAGAACAATGAAGTCCTGGATTTATTGCTTTCAGTAAACGATTTCTATTTAAATTTATTTAATGCACGGGTTAAAAATTGTATGCTTATACCTACAATAGTATTTATATTCATTTTGTGAAATATTAATTGATACATATATAGTTTTATTTCATATGATTATTAATTCTAATCAAATTAGCAATAAAACACTAGAAGTATCAAAATACAAATAAATATATTTACTATGTATTATATATTTACAAATTAAAGGCATAAGACATGGAAGTTTAGGTATCTAAATATGTAATATAAAATAAATGTATGTTAAAATTCGGCGACCAGGACTTCATATGATCAGGTTGAAATTTTGGTCCTTAGCTTTTAAGCGTATTGCATTTTGCGTCCGCCTTGTTTATTGTTAAAATATGTACCTGCTGGTGCCATATTAATAATGTCTTCGGTTTTCAAATAAGTTTCAACATGATTCCAACGAGATTTTGGTTCCTCGTTAATTTCAAGGCTTGCATTTCTTACTTTATGCTCGGATATCACACGGAAGAGTCTTTTTGATTCTAAATTATATCTGAAAAAATATATAGATATGAAATAATTACTCAACTTTAAAAAATAATGCTAAAAAAATTTAAATATTTACCTGCTTGGGGATAGCTTGAGTAATGTTGGTTCTATGGTAGCCCAATGATTTCTCATTTGGTTTAAGTATTGTCTTTCCATTGATCGCAAAACTTGGAGTTGTGTCTCTCTGCATGAACCTGAAGTATTACAAAACTAATATGAATTTATCATAATATACACACATTAACTAAATATTAGAATCATCTACTAAGATTGAAATTAAAGGAATTGTGCAATAAAAAGAAACTGAGTGCATTCAGTGTTTAAATTCACCATTCTTTGGTCGAATTTTTATCTGAGGTGACTTTCTTATAATTACCTAACGGAGTATCAGGTTTATCTATAAATCCAGGGTAACCTGCACGTCTGTCGTTGTCCCAGAGTCTTTCGTATTTGCTGGTTAAAGACATAAAAAGATTTCGCAATTTTTCAACTGAAGGTGGTTCTTCCTCATCTTCTTGTTCTACAAAGCTGCTAGAATCTTGACTAATATTTGCAGAATTTTCACTTGATATTGATTCTTCTTGGTCAGGTTGTTGGTTTTCATTTTTGATTGGAGTGGATTGAGGAACTTGGACCTTTACAATTAATGAAAATGTTAGTAAAATAATAGACTGATAAATAAAAAAATGAATTATTTATATATTTAAATCAAATACAAAATTATTGAATACTTGAATTAGGAATCTATTTCCTCATTTCTTTCATATATTTGCAAATTAAATTACTAAAACCATTTTGACCCAAAATGAATGAAACTAGTTGACGTACACTAATGTAAACAACTAATGCCATAAATTAACACATATGTTCAAAACAATTTGGCTTATGGCTTTGATTGTATTTTTATGTTTTTGCTAAGAGTCGATTAACCTTAATTTCTTAAATTTTTGTCCGTTTTCTCTAATTTATTCCTATATTTTGGAAATAATTCTTTAACGTTTAAGAAAACATATACTTTATAAAATATTTTGAGAATTAGCTAATTTTACTATAATCATGTTTACTTACCGGTTCTTCCAAAATTTTTGTATCCTCAGAATGGATAACCTCAAGTTTATTTTCAACTTGTACTTTTACTGGACTTTCTTTCGAAATAATATTTTCAGGTTCCTTTGCCAC